CTCCAATCACCTTTGCTCTAGCAGGGGTGGGGTGGTGAGGTCTCGGAGTGAGAATCTCTAGTTTACAGCACACAAACACTCAATTTCCCCTGGCATCTGTGCTGCAGGAAACAACTACTTACTTGCACACAAGCAGCTGTAGTACAACAGCAGAGTACACTGCCCCAGAGTACTTGAGGAAACAGAAAACAGTATCTGAGTTGTTTCAGGATACTTGAAACAGGTCAAGTACGAAAGTAACTCCTGCCCCAAAATTTTAATCAGGCACTGCTTTCTGTGTCGCTTCTGTGGAAGCCAGGGTGGAGGTTCAGCAAAGGCTGGTGGGCACAGAGACTGGCACAGAGCTTTGAGCAACCTGAGCCCCACTCACTCCTAGTGAGCAGTGCTGGGCCACAGCTTAAGGAGGCCAGCTACACTACTTTGAGCTGGCATTAGGTTTGCAGCAGTGGCAATCTGAGTTTTGCAAACCCTGTATTACAAGCCCCGGGCTTGTAAGTACAGCACTGCAGATATTTCAGTTGTGGTAGGAGCTGCTAGAATGGCTTTAGGTGTTTTCTCCAAGCTTTGAATTTTCAATGCAAGGTACCCTTGCGTAGCTGCCTGAGATAGCTGTCTCCATGCTCAAGCCTTACAGGCCTGCCAATGCTTTACTGCAGTGGTATGCAGAAGCTACAAAGAGCAATGCTACTCTCTTAAGTTGGTGGAGTTATAAATAGCTTTTAATTGCTCTCAACTGGTTCAGGTGTCTGGGATCTCACAGGGATCATGTAGAAAGCCAGAACAACTTGTCTACCAAGAGCACTTCCAATACATCATCCCTGTATAGTTTCCAGGCAGATAAAGCCTAACAATACAGCAGCAGTTCCTGTACTTGCATAGCCATGCAAGTCTCTTGGGCTGCTTGGCAAGTTTGCTGGGGTCAGGGTCCTCACAGTGAAAGGAGAGAAAATAAGCAGTGAAGGAACAGGTAATGACACAGGGATGGCAAAGGGGTACCTGAAAGCCCGTATTATGGGGAGGAAGTGGCCATGACTTGTGTGAGGAGCAAAGAGAGAAGCTCTGCTGTGGAGGAGGGACCTCTACCCATGCTACTAAGGCAGGCAGTAACAGGCTATGCAAAAGCAGGAATTCTTAGGTTCTCCTCCCTGTTCCAGCTGCTGCGGGACAGGGTGGCGCCAGAGCTGCCCGCCTTGGAAAAGAGGAGTCTCACATCAGGTTAGTCAAGTATCGAGTGAGTTCCTAGGATGATTCTTTGTTGGCTCTAGAAAAACTTTCCCAGGCAAAAAAACTCCTCTCATCTCCCAGTCCCAGCACCTTCCAGATCCTCTCATTTCTCTTACTATGTCACATGGCTCAGTGCTAAGAACATCACACCTAAGATGATTGCTAATTCCTTGTATTAAAGGTATACACTCACTGATTAACACCTTTGTCTCTCTGTGTTGAGAGCCATTTGCTGTCTTTCTGCAGTGCAAAGGGAAGAAAGCAATATGCTTGAGAAGGGAAACAGAAAGGACCTGCTAACACGTTGATCCCAGGAGAACAGGAGCATGACAAAGAATATTTCGAATTAGGGGATATCAGGTTACCACAGCCTCAGTGCCCTAGAAGTCAGGCAGGTGAGAGCAGCCGAACCAGAGGTCATAAAGCAGTAGAGGAAAGCAGCAGACGGGCACAGAGAAGCACACACAGACGGCTTCCAGGTTATCTGACTTCAGATCAAGTACACAAAACACAAACAGAAGCAACACATCTCAGTCCACTCTGACTCAAGGAATTGTTTCCTGGGGACGCAGGCTAGCTTACTCATTAACCTGACCCCTTTCCGCACTGCCCCATGCTCCCAAGAGCTCAGGGAGACTTTGCACAGCTCTCAGCCTCCTCCACCCTTCTGTGCTCAAGGATAGCTGGAGCCTGGGCCGTGACATGAAGTTCGCTCCCATACCCATGTGGCTCTCCCCAGGTCAGGAGAACATGGGCACCCCTAGCCTCTCCCTGGGCCTTGTCCAGAACAGGCAATGCTCTGCAGGTTGCTGCTTGCATCATCCAACCGTGGTTACCACAGTAACCACCTTTACGTGATGAAAAAATACAAGGCTCCCTGGCTAACAGTAAGTCTGCTCCTGGCCAGGGTGTTGTCTTTATTGCACAGCAGGAAAGGATGGTGCAGTTTTCCAAAGGTGAGAAAATAAATACTTTTCTCTACATTACATCGAGCCAGGCTTCCTGTCCACTCCATCTCTCATACACTTTCACAGCTTTGCTCTCCACAGCCCTGTTCAATTGCATTGTTTTGGTTAAACAGTAAACCCAGAAACGAAAAACTGCTTAAGACCAACAGATCAGTCTACCCAGGCATCAGCTGTCATTTACTTCAGTTTCAACAGCAGACATGCTCTGCAAGCCCCCAGGCCCACCCCAGGGGAACCAGAACCCCAGGCCATGGCCTTATCCCCATGAGTATTGCAGAGCCTTTAGCCCTGGAGGTTTTAACACAGGCTGAATGGATGCCTAAAGGGCTTGGAAGGAGAACTGAGCATCCCCCGGGGACTCTGGGAAGGGTGGCATTCCAGGCTGGTTTTCTAGTAACGAAGGTGAGAACAGATCTTACATGCAGGAGAGATGGTAGCAGAAGGAAGCCACACATACCAAAGTCTGGCAGGCCTGACGGATCCATATGTTGCTGCTTTCACCCCCTTTCGGTTTTGGGATGGAGCAGGAGCAGCCCATTGGCTAGAGGTAGCACTTACCCCTCGTTTCCTTTGCTGGGGAGAGGAAGTACTTTCTAGGCACAAGTGCTCTTGGTGGCCTCAGCTACATAAAGAGTCAGGGGAAAGCCAGGTAGAGTCCATTCTCCTTCTGCTCTGAGTCCACTTCTCTTTCATAGCGAGATCCCTGGGGAGAGGCTTCATCAGATCAAAACAGCTTACATAGCCATAAAGGAGACGGGTCAGCAACCGCCTCTTCTGAGTCCTATTTCATTAGCAGCAGTGCCGAAATGGAAACTTACTCTCTGAGCTCACTGCTCAGGATGCAAAAAAAATAACCCCCAAGTCAAGGGAGCACCCAAACACAGGCTGCTGGACTGTCACGATCCAACTAGCTGCTGGAAACCCTATGTATCCTCGGGTGCCAGCATGGGAGATCTTCGCCTGCAACCTCCAGTCCACTGGTTGCGGCAGCTGGAAAGGACAGAATGAGGCAGAGGAGCACAAGAAAGGTTCAACCGCAAGGCACCCCAGAAAAAAAAGAGAGAATTCCTGGGGAGGCTCTTGCTGTGCACAATCTCCTCTGTACACGCACATCTAATGGACTCCTGTGCGATTTGCAGATGTGCTGAGCATTCACAGCTGTGGCTTAAAGTTACCACAGAAATGCTGAGTTTCAGTTCGGTATGAGAGCGGAGAGTTCTAAAAAATAAATTGGGGTCTGGGTATCTCTAATTAGAACTAGCAGACACATTAGGTGTTGACCTTGCTCTGCTTGATGATGCAAGCGTTGATCAGATGCTCACTACGTGAGTACCATTCCTCTGATCGTCTAATTGGAGACAGGAGAGACAATGGGGGATAGAAAGACACACACAAAGGGGACCAACTAAGATGACACAGGCAGTCTTTGGAGTGTTTGAAGCCTGGATGTTTTTATTTTGGGGGCCCATCTCCTAAGTTATCTTGAAAAAAGATATTCACAAATGAATAACAACAAATGAAGTTATCCTAAGGCCATATAAGTTGCATCTAGTTCTGGCACATGACCTAATACAGTAATAACATATATAGGTCAGCTGTCCATCTAAACAACTTATCTGTCAAAGTGGAAAATGAAATGCTTGGTTATCAGGAAACAGCCATTAAAGAGGTCTAACAGACTAAAGGGTAGGATTTGATCCCTTATGAGGATCAAAGTACATTCAAAGGATTTCAACCACTTTTCTTACCCAAACTGTATTTTCTCCCTCCTGCCTAGGATCACAGCCAAACTAAGCAAGAGGACACAGAACAAGGCAAGCAGTGACTGCCAGTCCAGTAAAGGTCACCTCCGGGGATGTGATGAAACCCGATTCCCCTTCACTCAAAGCTTAGTGTAGTGAGAAGGATTACAGCAGCCTTCCTGGAGCAGTTCTTTGCCCACCTCAAGCCAGATCAAGGCGTCAGAGATCACACCTCACCCCTACCCCTGTCCCACATGCACAAGAGCTGTGCACCACCACGTATTGGCCATATGGATGGAAGAGGGCTGTCTGACTAACAGCAGGCAGACTTCATATGCTTAGCACAAAAAATTAGCATCTCCTGGCAAGGAGTCAGCCTTGCTGCGAAGCAAAAAGAAACCAGGCAAAGTTCACATCGTTCACTGTTCTAATTCACCCGGCTGGATGCCATTCAGCTGTCTGCCCTATGCCATAGCCCCACGGGCAACTTCCATCCTAGATTCAAACCATGTATTTTGAAACCAGCCCTCAGTGAGAGGCAGCAGGAAACAATAGCATAGGAAGGGAAAACACTGTCCACAGGATGTTGTCCGTCCTTCTTCAGCCTACCTAGCAGGACTCTTCTGAGTAAGGAGAGGTCCTTCCGTGTCCTGCTCAGACGGTGTCTCAAAGGGCTCAGAGATGCCCAGGTCATTCCCACATTGATGGGTCCAGCCCAACATGGACCACAGGCAAAGAAGGAGGCCATTTCCAGCCTACGCTCACACTTTATTATTTACAGAGACATGGTCAGTATAAGAACATCAACATGGGACACGGACAGTAAAGTGAGGCCCAAAGGCACTGCCCCATGTCCCCTTGGCACAACCAGTCAGCATAATTTATACAAATAATACATTTGAACAATAAGTAAGTTCAATAAATAAGATCAATAAATTAAAAAAGTAGAAAGACAAAGCAGCAAGGAATGATTGAGGGCTGTGACACATTCACAGCAGCGACAACATCAACAACACCCCACCTGCACACCAGCGGTTGAAGCACAGACCTCCCCCCCCCCCCCCCGCCCCCCCCCCCCCCCCATCAGCCCTTTTCTCTCACCATACTGTGGCAAAATCCACTGAGGAGGGGGAAAGGGGAGAGCAATGTAGTTCACCACAGCTTTGCTTTCTTGGTCTAGAAGCCCTCTCCCCTTCCTAAGCCACTTGGAAGAGGGTGCCTGGGGTGGAGGAGAAAGGTACAATCACTGAACCACTGTGCACAATCACAGCTTGCCTGAATTGTTTGGCACAGAAAAGGACAGTCTTTCTTCCCTTTCTACAGTCCTCTAACAGACACTGGCATAGTTATTAGCTGAGCCAGGGCTGGGTGTGGGGGCGGAAACATCTCTGAAGAACAGGGGAGAGAAGAGATGATGCTCCCTTTCATTTGTGATTGCCGGAGGCAGAGATGCTCTCAGTCTTTGCTCCAGAGCCCTGACATGCTCCTTCCGCAGGCTCTGGCACTGATGGAGACAGGATGGGTGACAAGACAACTACTCCCCTGGCAAGGAAGGAGTTACCACAAAGAGTACAGGGGCTGCAGCTCAGAAATCACAAGTTATACGAGTGAAGGGACAGCAGTAAAAGGCCGCCACTGGTTATCTAAGAGAAATACGAATACGACAGCCGGTCCCTAACCACTGCAGGGGGAAAAGCCACAAACAGACTCTGATTTGGCTCCCCTGTCAGCCTCAAGGTCTCCAGCTCTCTTTCAGATATGCTAGCAGCTGGCGTAAGAGGGAGAGAAGGATTCTGTCTATAGTGGATAGCTTTCAGCAGAAAGGAGACAACTTGAGCATTATCCCCTCCTTCCCCCACCCCCTTTGTCCCTGAAGAAGGGTACTGGAGTGTGAAAAAAAACAGGAATTGAGGAAATAGAGCACAGAGAGAAATGGGAACAGATGGAGATCTGGGATAAGGAACCCAATCCCTTTCTCCTCACATGTAATGAACACTAATCATCCAGGCCTGGTATCAAGTCCGCAATGCTGTCCACATAGTAATTGGGCACCAGATCCTTGGCAGCAGCGCTGTCACTGGCCATATAGGCCTGTGCCTCTTCCAGGCGGGAGACACCTGTCAGGGTAAGGATGGTGGAGAGGCCGCAGTTCTTGCCGAAGAGGATATCTGTCTCCAGACGGTCTCCCACCATGAGGGTGCGAGAAGGGTCTACACCAAAACGCTCCACGATGCAATCAAACATGTATGTGTTTGGCTTCCCCACCACCAGTGCCTTGCGGCCAGAGGCAGTTTCCACTGCTGCTGTGAGACTGCCTGTCCCTGAGAGAAGGAGAAGAAAAAGAAATAGCTGCAGACTAACCACACATTGGCTACAGGTAGCCCAGCACCTAATATTACAAGTGAGAGGATGACTAAACAGGCCGGGAGGTGCTAACAACTCAGCATCCCTGTGAGATGCTAAACCGCTCAGAGACGCACGAGAAACGCAGCCTGCCCTGTGGCTTAGGGAACCATCTCGTCCAAGCTTTGCAGAACAAATCCCACAAAGGCCGACCCTGCCACTAAAAACCTGCACCAGCTCCCAGCGCGGTGCTGCTGAGGAGGCGGCGGCAGGCCTGGGCAAGGGGACAATCCCGGGGGGGAGCTAGGGGTCAAACCTGGTGAGGCCTCAGCCCCACGCACCCACCACCCCTAGACCAAGCAGACAGACGGGCTGTAAGAGAAACCCGAGGGCTGCACGGCCGACTGGCACCGCTCTCCCGGGTGAGGAAGTGCGGCGGCGGGCAGGGGGCTCACCGGGGGTGCGCTGGCCGTCGCTGAGAGGGTGCCAAGGGTCGGGGTCGGTGGCCACCAGGAGGCACTGCGG